TTGGAAAGAATTTGAGCAGAAACAGTTCATAATTTGTGCATTAGAATGAACATTCTTTTCCAATTCTAAAGCCCTAGATTCACCTCCCTCCTCATATTATTATTATTTAGGTGCTTTGACCTTATTAAAAATATGATGATTTAGGGATCATTTCCAAACCCTGATGAATGAAATTTTAAGCTTTCTTTTTCCAATTTCTTATTGTTAATAAAAATTTTCACCATCTTTCATGCAATATCAGGGGTGTTTTACTAATGCCCCATAGTAATTTTCCAGTTGTGAAAAAAAATTATCTTATAATCTTCTTGTTCACTGTGTGTATACGAAATGAATGATCTGGTGGACTTGGGAGGTCGTGTACTGTTATTTTTAGGACTCTATCACTTCACCCTTTTGCCAGCGTGGTTCCTGGCTAACTTTCCCATGAGTTTTTAACCTCTCGCTAGGCTCTGCTTATGTAACAGGAAACAGGCTGTCAGGAACAAACAAACAGGGGCATATCAGGCACACACTTAGTAGCAAATGATTTAGTTTTCTCTGCCCTTCACCCTCTTAAAGTAGACCGATACACGCCCTCAACTCCAAGTCTTCTGGCATGGTGTTCCTAGATTAAAATAATATAATTTCCGTTTTGGAAAGGCAAAATATTCTACCAAGACCATGATTTAATCCAGGCGACGGAAAAGATGAGCTTATTCTAAGGTGAACTTTGCAGTGGTGTCATGTCCTGGGACTGTGGATTTAAGTATATCTTCGCTCTTTCTCCAACTCTTAAGGCAGGGGTGATGTGCAAGCTTCAAGAGAGAGATGATATCGGACGAATCGAACTGGTCCAGAAGCTGGCAAGAGAAAACTATCAGTTTTTGCAGACGGACAAAAAAGAACAGGAGAAGTCTGAACACGTAAGCCTTTTACCTCTTGGGGATGCAGATTTGAAGGGGTGGAAAATGTTTCTGCCTGGTTGTATGTTTGAAGGAAATAGTATTTTATTTTAAATTCTTTAGGTTTGGGGTTCCCCCCCACCAAGAGCATTCTCCTTAGTGAAAATCCCAGCTGCTCATAGCTCTAAGCAAGTGGTTTCTGACACTGGATTTATAAGAGAACTCTTCTCAAAAGTAAATCATGTAGAAATATGAGCATTTAAACAAATATGAATGTATGTGTGTTTATGATCCTAGTTTGATGGCTTTCAGGTTTGACTTTGGAAGTTGTGCCTAATCAGATAGTCTGGAGAATATGAATTTTGAAAGAACATGCCGATGTATGTACTCTCATGTTTAGTACAGAGATGGACCTGGTTTCCAAATGAACATATCCTAAGTCACTAGCAACAGATAAGAACAAGAAAACAGATTATAGATGCTCTCACCCAGTGGGAGGGTCTGAGGGGAGTTTTCCCAGTATCTTATGAAGGCTTGTGTTCCAACAAGAGTTATATTGTTCGGATGCAGTTAAAACTAGAGGAAAGGGACATTCTGCTTGGTCTTCCTGAAAGCAGTTATTCAAGATTGAGCCTTAGAGCTGGCAATGCTGCTGTTAGGCTGGGAGCACAATGGGACCACTTTCTTCTGCCACGCATTGTTATCTGTGGACTTCGTTGTTGTTTGCTAAGACTTCACTCTCAATGAGTGCTGTGCCATCCAGGATTGCTCATGAAGAGGAAAATTCCTCCGTGCTTGTAAACATGTCTTTCTCTGACTGTAATTTTTCCTTGGAATTTTATTTTCAACCCTTTCCAAGGGGGAAAAAGTTGCTTCATGCTTTTCTGCTCCAAGTCCATGAATACAAGTGACAGGGTTTTATTGAGCGGGAGAAGAGGCGGCATGTCTGAGGCTGGCTGTTTAGTTTAATAACACAGCATATCTTTAACAGTGGAACACTGAATCGTAACGGTTGGTATTTCAAGAGAGAAAATAATTAGACAATTTCAAATCCTTGTAATTGCACTATTTTAGGGGTGACTGTTTAAGTGCACGTAGAGGTCTCAGACACCTTCACTTTGCTAGGTACCACTGAACAATTTAGCAGCTTGTTCAAGTTGTTATTATAAAAGCACCCTGACAATTGATTTTTTTCATAGGCTAACTCCCAACCTCTGCTGTGTCCTTAGGATATTTGAGTATCATAGCATGTGGCTTAAATTTCTTAAAAAATATTCCTTTTAATTCATTTTAATTAGAAGAGCAACAGTTTTCCTATGTCATATTTTATTGATTTCAAGATGCACATTTTCCCCACATTTTAGCATCCCTGAAATCAGGATGAGTTTTAATAATTAATGATATGAAAACATGTTTAATTGTGAGCATTTTTGTTTCCTAGTGGTCCTTAAAATAAATGCTGTATCTTACAACTGATTGCAGATTAGATGCAGTAAATCAGTGACAACTTCGGGTACGTCAAGATCTTTCAGAATCATACAGTAGGTTACCACTTTGCCAAAGTTAGAAATAATCAGCTTTAGGTCACAAACAACATTGCACTTTTTAAAAAGATACCTATGTTATCTTTGTCTTATATTTACTTCAATCTAGAATGTTATAAATATTTATAACTAATGTGTTTTTATAACTATAGAAATCTGAACTTGGTGCTAGTAATTGTAAAGGCTTTTAATGTGAGACCGAAATTTAGTGGTTGAAGATTTGCAAATTTGCTTACGGTTATTTGCCCTCTGTTACTTTAAAACTTTCATTTCATTTCTGAAATAAAACACTAAGATTTTTTACTTCTTGCATGAATATCATATGATGGATGCATTAACAGCTCTGAAATATTTGTGCCCCTGAGAGCAAAGATGGTGCGTAAATAAACATTGGAATTAGAACTTCTTCTGTGTAGACTTTCCTGTGAAGATTAACATAAAGAAAGGTAAACATTAAGGATCTTTCTTTCTTAGCGATAAACATAAACTCAGCCATTCTGTGATCTCCCTTCTGCAGAATGACACCAGTTGAACCAATCAACTCTTGAGGCTGTTACTGACGTAGTGCTCCACTAAATGGATCGTTCGGTACTAGAGACTTACACTTTTTACAATACGTTACTAGAAATAAAACCCACATGATAGTTTATTTTAATCTTTTGTCTTGAGCATTTGATGTATCTATACCTTTGCTTACCCCTTAAGCTGGCAGTGTTCCTGAGGTTGGTGCAACATTTCCGTTTTTTCTGCCTTGCCTTTTCAGTAGCAGTCATCTGCTCTTGTGCATGGAAACTCAGTTATAACACACAGCATGGACAGAGGCAACTGCAGTTTACTTCACATAAACCTAGGTCTGCAGTTTCCTCTTCTTGTTATAACAATAATGACCAACCTCTGAAGTTACAGATTTCCTTGCTTTTATGATTTTAAAATACTTCTCCTATGTCATCTACCATTCCTGGGCCAAAGCTAGCTAAGTAGAGAGTGATAAAATTTGAGTTAGAATACAAGTTGCCTATTCAGTCATTCTTTTCACTGAACTACATTGCTTTTCCAGTTCTAGAATGCCACATGTGTGCCATAGAGAAAGCTACTTCGAAGTACTACTGCAGAGGCAAAGACATGAATTTGATAGAATAAAGCCTTTGTTGCTGGTACATCTTATTACAAATTAAAGGAGATTAGAGATTTCTGAGTAGGCATTTCTCATATTTTCTTAAACTGGAAAATGCCGTGATTCCAAATGCATGCAATTAGAGAAGCACTTCACTCTGTGCTTTTGCCAAAGTGTTTCTGAAATTAAAAAAAAAAAAAAATTAAATGTATAATTTTCACAGGTTTCTCAGGAAGCACTCAGTTTTTCTATGTTCTTTTAAATAGCTATGGGCAAAATTAGGCAGCACTCATTCCTACATGTTGAAAATTGTATATGAGTACTTTGAGAATGGGACAGAAATCGGCTGTCTTCTAAGCATTATGGTCACAGGGTTAACATTTGGTCATTAGTTCTTTAGAGAAATGACCTCTTATGAAGGCGTTGTTTTTCCTAGTCTTGCTTCTGTGATTATATCAACAGAGGAAGGGGCATGTGCGACCAAATGGGAATTTTTGAGCTTATCCCTAAAGGATGACTCATGGTCTTAAAGAAAGGCAGGGAGAGCATCTCAGGCAGAGGACCAGCAGGGAAACACACGACTAGAGCCCTGGGTGATTCACAGGGAATGGAAAAGGGCAGGTTGAAAGGGAGGCTACAATTCACTTGTGAAATACCCAGTAAACCACCCTAAGGAGTTTAAACTTGCCTTTCTGGCAGAGGAATGCCATCAAAGAAAGGAAGTGGCATAATCACATGTGGCCTTTGTGAGATCTCTCTGGCTTTGGTTTAGAGGAAAAATTGAGTGAGGAAGAGGGAAATGTTGGAGAGAACCCTGAGAAAGCTATTGTAGTGCGTCAGGTGAGAGATGTCAGCCTGAACCAGGGCAGTGACTGTGGGAACTGAGAAGGCAGTAGATGTTAAGAGTTGTTTGGACAGTATTGGCAGAATTTGATGACCGGTAATGGGGGATGTGTGTACTATTTTACATTAAGCAATTTCTAAATTTTTATTTTGGTTTCTTTAGTGCTTTCCTGATCTGTGTAGTCTGAATTGGTGTTACTGTACTCTCATTCTAGAATACTCTGCAGCTTCATTCATTCACTACACTTTTATTTAAGCTATTGTTGTAGAGGAACCAGAATAACTGTGGTAGCTCCTACCCTCAAGAAGTACAGTCTAGTTGTGGAGAAAAGACATCGATGCAAATCAGTGAGATACAGAAGGCAGTGATGAGAACCCCAGGAGAGATACATAGCAGTGAGAAGGATTATTTACACCTGGGGAAACAGGATTCTCTTTTGAAAGATAGAGGTAGAGTTTGACTTGGATCTTAAAGTAGTTTGGGTTGGATTTAAACAATTCAGTTGAAGAATAGCATTAGAAAATGCACAGAGATGTCAAATACAAGATGTTTTTCCTAAAATCTGGAACCATTTTTTTGTCACCAGAGTACCAGGAGCTGGAGGTGGGAGAGGAGGCAGGAGAAAGAGGATCTAGTGAGGAATGAGGTTGGGACCAAGACTGTGGAGGAGTCTCAGGGCTGAGAAATTTCACCTCGTTCTAGAAATAATGAGGACACATTGAGTATTTGGTTTGGTTACTTTTCATAAAAAAAGGAGGTTGAGGCAGGGCCATCATGAGGTAAATGGTGTTATTTCAGTCTGACTGATTAGAAAGGTGGAGCTGACTTGGGCGGAGAGCGAACTCAAGTCTCATTGCCTCTGGAGCTCTTCCCTCAGCCATCGCCACCGGAGTGAGCACTGACTGGAGGCTAGGAAGCCGAGATGACCACGGTCACGGCAGTCCTGGGAAGAGGGGATGGACAAGAGCGCAGTCCTGGGGGAAAGAGACTGCTTGAATATGCAGGAATATGGTCGCGGAAGGTCTACATGTGGCTCCTAGTTTCTAGAATACAACTCTGCTTTTTACCGGAAAACTAAAATCATATTTCTCCTAAAATGTAGCTTATGCTTTGTAGTATATTAAATTGTAGATTGGAAATACCAACATTAGCTCCTAAACTGACTTCCCAACTTCCAACTGTAGAGACGAGTAGTGTCTCTAAAATGTATGTGAAAACCGTGTTCAGCAATACTTTCCCTAGGGACCCTGTCTGCATCCCTCCCTCTCCCCACCCCATTTTCTCCTGTTCCTTTGTTAAGTCTGGGGACCCACCCGACTTCCTTCCCCTTTTCTAATTCACTCATGAAATAAGTATGGGTGGGAAGGGGATTTTGCACATTCTGAAACTGAATCTTGGCACCATCTGCTGCAAGGGTAGGGTCCCTATCACTCAACCTAAACCGGAATTTCCTTTTCCCTGTTTCCTGCAGCCTCATCCTGGAATTCTGCCTACGTCAAAGGGTTCCTTGTTTAAGGAT